TATAATAAAAATTGTAAGTTATTTTTAATTAACATTTAGATTAAAATCTTACATTTTTTAATTGTTTAATTTTTTGTATTGTTTGATTTAGTGATAAATTTAAATAAATATAATTTTGGAGACAACAATTTGCATATTTTACTTTTACCAAAGTACAATATTATGAGTATTGAGTTGCAATTGAAAAGTTCACTGAGCTTTATTCAATAATTCAAATTTAAATATTATGGTATGTATGTATATACAATAAATTAGCATTGGTATTTGTAGTCACACTGATTTGGGAGCCAACCAATCAGGGCACTTATTCATTTTTTACATTGCAGCATAGGAAGTGCACAATCTGTTTTCATATAATCTGTGATTGTACTGTGGCGGCAACAAACCTTCATAGTGCGCATTGTATTGACAAAACATGTAGGTAAATACAACATCGTATTTACATAAAGTATAAACACAATAAAGTATCAATTTTCTGAAAAAAGACAGTTGGTATTATCTAAAATTTTAATTTCCTCCAAGTAGATTCTTATCAATGTGTAGAAGAACTGTATTGCCCTGACCACCACCACCGTCAACAGCCCGATCGCGTACGTGTGCTACTATGCGTTATCATATATAACCGCGAGCAGTTCTGCCCTAAACTGATATCACTTATCACATTACTGTTAACAAATAATAATACGAGTGCACATGTATAACAGGGTATCCGCATATAATTGTGCAACACACTACCTTTATTATATATATATACATGTAAATGCTGAACACATTATTTACCTAATCCCCACTACCAAACACATTATACATAACCCCCCACTACATACATGGTTTAACAATTAATACTCTATCGTGTGAATATTTAGTCTCAGTTTTGATTTAACAGCGTCAAGTTGTAAGTCTCAGTATATTGCTTATAAATATGGCAGGACCAATAAGTGAAATGAAACGGGTATACAATTATGTTGCACCTACATCTCCACATGAACTCATGGATTGCTCTAATTTTACAATAGACTTTAAAAATCGCAAATTCTTGAACATCGGATTCGATCCAAAAGATCAGTTCAATATCGTTTTGCAAATAATTACACCGTCACGGTATGTAAAAATTTCATCAGACTTCTTGAAACGAATTTATTCAGTCATGGGCCATGTTTTGTCACACGTTCTCGATCCTGTTGTAAAATATAAAAAAATTATTTTTTTGGAAGATGAAGTCGCTTTGCTTACAAGTATGGTGTATAAAGGAGAGCATGTGTTGGTTATAGAGTCAAAAACAACAAACGGATGTAGAATCATATTAAGTCGTAGAGATCTTATGACAATTCAAGAATTAGAGTGGGTCATTTTCGAAACAATTTCAAGAAAAAACGATATCGTAAAACCTATTATTTTAAATCAACTCGAACAAATATCTGAATACTTTAATACTGATTTTAATATTGATAAATCTGTGACACTGGAAGAAGTAAAAACAATAATCAAAGGAATTGATATCGAGTTAATCGCAATGCATGTACCGAAGCACAAACATGGTTTTATAAGCCAGATCAAATTATTCGCAACTGAACAGCTAGCTATCAATTGGATGACGATGAATTTGCCAAAAGTAATAATATATATATATATTAAAAAAAATTATTTAACATATGCATTCAATTAGGCTGTGGATGAAAATGATGATGATGAACTGATAAAATTTCTCCCGCCTACCCAGAGGAGGCCTGAAGCAAACGATTTAAAGGTAATAATATATAAGTTTTTTTTATTATGATTACTTATTTTCTATTTATTTTAGTATTATACGGAGACCTTTGACGTGGAAATGCTGCAGCCATCCCCACCAAGATACTCAAGTATGTCTCCATTAATGACATATAACGAAGACGATTTATCACAGTCACGAGTAATTTAAAATTAAAATAATAAAATATTTAAGTATTAAATGTAATTTAATTTTTAGGCAGCTGACGAGGAGAGAAGGTTCAAGGAAAGTAGTATAATAGGAAAATTCCTTATTATATAAATCCGTACAGTAGTCAGTAATATTGTAAAATAATATTGTTTACTGCAGATTGTTGTAATATATTGTGTAAAATAAAGAACTAAAAAAAAAACATTAAAGATATGGTACATTATCACACATATCTAAAAATATTAGACCATTTTCAGATTATAATCCCATTCGAATAACTAACATAAATTATATCCAAACAATTAATAATTATATACACATCATTATCACAAACTCCTGAACATATTATACAATTTTCATAATATATACGATACATAGCTATATTTATACATATAAATATGATATGACCAAACACTTACAAACTATAATATACTATGAAACACACGATACCATACGGTACTCATCAGTTTTCATTCTGAACACACGCTCAACATAAATATTATATACCTTATCATACATATATACATACATACATACATACAAACATACATAAAAATAGTATACAATTTTCTTATTATATAATTACATACGAAAAACGAATCTCTAAAGCATACGTTATACACCGGAATGTAATCTCAAACACACACATACATAAACTTGTAAAAAATTATATTTTTCAAAATATACACGTTAAAGTATAGAGATATTCGTAGACATTCCTCTACCTGACAACATACAGAAATATATATATAATATACGGGCAACCGTTTACAGATGTCGATGAGTTTCGTTCATCCCTTTCTCTAGCACATACATGCACATACACTCATATAACCATAGGTTAGTTCATACATATTTAGATACTCACATATTATATACATATTTGTATAATATTCCGAGCACCTTTTTAGAGGGAAGTTTCATCAGTTTAAGCGTTGTGTTCCACCGTGCAACACAACATTTCAAAAAGTATTATTACATTCATTATAACAAACAACTAAACATACTATAAAACTTACATATTATTGTATTATATATTATCATTTATTCCCATACATGGTACACATATACAACATTCATACATAAATAGGTACCTACTTTCATATTATATACACCATCACACACATCTAATCTTGTTATACAACTTACATATCAATATAAGACACTTCGTTACATATAGACACACTCACACATGAAATACATACTTTAAAATACTTACTCACATTCACATAGATACATTTAAACATTCCAATACATCCACCCTAAAAAGTATTTTCAAAAGTACAACATCGCTCATCAATTGGTTGTACCTACTACTACAAAATTGTTATGCCCAATAATCATCTAGATAGTTCAATTCTATTATATGAGACCATCGTACCTAAGCTTATAAACACGCATATTATAGAAAAATATCTCAATTAAAATAGGTAGATCTACCTATATTTTATTCAGCTCAGAGGATTACTCAACAACATATACAAAATTATATATTTATGACACACAATATTATATATTTATGTAACTAGTAGGTACCTATATACACTATACAGACTAAGGAGAATAGAGGATATCGACTCTGAGGGTCTTAGACGTCGTCTTCGAGATAGTTTGATCACTAAATGCAAAAATAAAACTATCATATTTTGACTTCACCGTTGATACAGTACATTTCATGTTAGAAATAATACAACATTTATTTTATTAAATTTGAATTAAACACAAATATGCTTATGCATCCTTACTTTTCATTTTAACCATATCCACTAGTCTATATTATAATTACCTAAACTCGCCTTATATTATATATTAAGGAATTATTATTCCCAAAATATTCACTTTTTAGTAAAGAGTTGTATATAGTATATATTATTAGATATTACACCATATAACCACAGAATAGATGAAATCTTACATATCACTACCGACATATACATATTATAACTATCATGCATGTGCATGGGAAAAACACAAGCGTTTCCAGTCACCGTCACCACCAACGAAACCCCATTCGACTCGAGCAAAACGTATATTATGAGAAAACGCATGCAACTTAGGTACATATCACCCAAGTGACCGATACATATTATATTTTATCAGCACATACTTACAACAGTCATATCACTTGTATAATATTTTTATTTTACCGTGTGTATACACAGACACACACACACACACACACACAAAGGCATATCACCTCCGCTATATATCATTGTATAAGTTATAATATCGGAAAATTAAGAACTATTAACAATATCTCTCATTTCAGTAGATAGGTACTTTATGCGGTTTATTACAAAAATCCCGAAAAAGGTACCTACACAATAATTAACGTTACATTTGTAGTATTATAGTAACATCTTTATCAATAAAACATTTATAAATCTTCATCTTATTAGTAATTTTCCATACAGGCTCATGCTACAATGAGCATATAGGTGGGGACGTACATACATTCTTGTATCTTTATATATACATGCACAATACTATTAGGCCAACCTATTATGAATAATATTACAGATACTTACTTATATTTTTAATCAATCATATATACATTGAAATATTGATATTACATTAGACTAAAATCATAGCTTATATACACATACATGGATTATAGGTATTTAAGAGAAAAAATAAATCTTTTACTGTTATCATTGTACTATTTTTCGTCAAGTGCAGTGAGAATTATATATATAACAATAAGTAAAAAATATTATAATTGAGCCACCACCTATTTCTACAGTTACATGAACATGTGAAACATAGTATGATATGCAAACCCACATTAAATCATATACCGATATGTATATTCGACATTACAAACACCTAAACATATTATATATGGATTACATAAATATATACACATCAATAAGTCACCTACATATAGGCATACACATATTTACATACACACATACTAGTATATTGAGCGTAGAAAGCAGTCTGGTGAATTAAATCTTGTGATGAAGTATATTAATGGTGTCCCATCAGTTACAAGGATGCAGCCAAAAAACGGCGCAGCTGGCCAACGTTAGGGCCTGCAAATACCAAATCTACTTCAACTTCACTTTACTCAACAGCCAACATGCATGCCTCTTACCATTTAAACTGTACTACCTGTAAAAACGCTTTGGCGTCTTCTGATAATTTTTTAACTGAATTTAATAATTTTGTTAATAAGTATTCTACACATAATCTCTTAATCAATGCTGATACTAATGATGTTTTAAAAAAAAAATGTGCGTCTTCAGATTCTAATATTGTTTGTAATCCCCTTAAAACCTACTATCAGAATGGCCTTAGAACGAAACTTAACACTTTCAGGTGCAACTTTATTTTATTTGATTCTTATGATATAATCATATTAACTGAAACTTGGCTCACGCCAGACATAGGTAACGCTGAACTAGGTTTCGTTGGGTTCCATATTTTCAGATTTGACAGAAATTCATACTCAAGTTCATCCACCCGTGGTGGTGGAGTCCTCATTGCAGTCAAATCTAACCTTAATGCTTCCTTAATCGTCAACAATTGCAAATTTTTTGTTATTTATAGTGTCGGGGAAGATGAAGGCCCACCTTATCGTGGTGTCCCCGTGCTCGGCCGCTAAGAGGCTTTCAAAATCGGGTCCGTTAAACCAGTTGTGACGGGCCCCAGGCGTCACCAAGCGGTTACGTGGCGCTGAGTCGTGCGCTTGTGAGCGGCGAGCCTATATCTCGGGTTGGGAGAAACCCGTGAAAGAAACCATTCGTTCGATTTTGTTTTTATGATAACTGTCTATTCCTTCTAATTTTGTATTTAATCGTTTTATTTCTTGATTGCTGTCTTTAGTTTCATTATTTAGTTGCATTACTTGTTTATTTAAGATTTCCGTGTATTCGCTGAGTCCTGAACTTCTTGAATTAATTCTAAATTGCATAAGTTCATATTTTTTAAATTTTCTTTCAATTTTTTCAAAGTACTATTATCATGCAGTGAGATTGCATGTAATATAGGTTCCCTAATACATTTTAGTATGTACACGCAAATATCTTCCTCTTTCATATCTTTTTGTACTTGGCTACACAGGTATTCTATTTCCGTAACAAAACTAGAAATTGACTCTAAGTCGTCCTGTTTTCTATTTTCTAATTTGTTTTTTAATATTATTGAGTATCCTATGGGTTGAAATTCGTTTATGAACTCGCTTTTTAGATTTTCCCATGACCAGTTTTCTCCTTTGTTTTCCAAATTTTGTAAAAATATGTTAGCAGTTTCTTTCAAAAATATTGATAAAAACTTCATTTTTTCGTTGTCGTCCCAATTGTTGATCTGTGCTGCTTTTTCGTATTGTCTGATGAAAGTTTTGATGTCGCCTTGTCCGGAAAATCTGGTTTGACTATCATTTTTTCCATTTTGTGTTTTGGATTTTGATTTTCTATTTTATTTAATTTTTCAGGTGTATTTTCTATTACAAATTTTGAGTTGCTAAAGAAGGTGGTATTTAGGTTCGATAAAGATTTTATTGGACTTAAGATATCTTCGTATATGTGTTCTACTTTTGTTGATTCGTTAAGATCTAAGTTTATTAAATTATTGTAACTATTACTAGGGGATTGTACTAAATCGTTTTGATATAAATTACTAACAGAGTTTACAAATTTATCTGCTTGAGTTATTAATTTGGTTACGTTATTTTCTAAATTTTTGGATATATTATTTAAAAGTTCGTTATCAATTGTTTTTGGTTTATTTATAGCGCTATTACTCGTTTCTCTGCTTGAATCACTTAAGTTTCTCTGTGTCAGGAATTATGTAATATCAATTCTATCTTCTATTGAATCCTTTTGAACTTTGTGTTTTTGTAGATGGCTTAAAGTTTCTTCGATGTCGTCTAATTCTACGATCCCCTTATAGTATCTAGATAATCTAGCCCTTAGGTTATCTACGGTTCCTACACTTTTTAATTGTTTAGATTTGCATAATTCAATAAGACCTGGTTTCTTTTGTAAATAAATATTGGTTAATTTTGTAATTTTTTTTTCCCAAAGCAATAAGGTGTTTGTCATTCATATCATAATACAATTTACTTTAATTAATTTATGCTTAACACTTAAATAATTAATTTTTGAACAGTTTGAAACTTAAATTAAAATATTTTCGTGGTTATTTAATATTGAATAACATTTTTGAAAAATTATTGAACTAAAATTCTATTTAAATTGTTTTAAGAAAAATCTAATCTATAATAATAATATAAGTATATTACAAAACGTTGCTCACCTAGCGTATACTTGTAGACGCACGGTTGCAAAAATTGTACCACGCGGCACAAAACGGCTGTCTTGTCGGTCAGACAAAAATCGAACGCGTATGTGTTACTCACTCGGTATACACACGCACAAAAATTGCGTTCTGGGTTTCTACTGCACCCAAAACACAAAAGGTATATTTTACTTTAACAGAAAAAAAAATCACTAAACTCGCTCCGGGTTTTACTACCCGAAACGTGCACAATTATCGTACTTCACTTGTACACAAAAAAAAAAATGGTGTGTCAAGGGAATCTCTCCCAGACTACACGTAAAAACTGTTGTACTTATCGTACGTACACACTTCAAAAAAAATTAAAATGTGCCAAGGTTGAGGTACCAGGGCACAAAAAATCAAAAAAAATGTCTCCGACCGTGGATAAGTAACCCCGTTGGGCGCCACTCTGTCGTACCACCCGTATTGGATAATACGTGGTAAACCTACTATACGCCTCACCCTCGTATTCTCTAGTTAATGACACTCTCTAAAATTAATTAGAATGGCACTGTTAACTTGGAGGTACGATGGTGTGCGTTTGTCAATCCTAAGTTCTTTCCAATCTAGTAAAATGACTCAAAGATTACATATACCTTGGCACTATTCAGTTTAATAAAACCTCATTGACACATAGTAAGTATATCCCGGCGCTGCTCCTATTAAAGGTAAGAACTTCAGAATGACTTAAATAATTGTAACTCGGGTTTTCAGGTCGGAAACACTTATATTATATTTAAAAAACAAACACAAATAAAATACACTTGGCGAATTCAGATCGCCTAGCCCGTACTACGATCGACGTTTCACACGTACGACCACAGTACCCATTGGCAATGAACTTCCCTTTCGACATATGTTTCAAAATATTGATGGATCAACGACTGGGCCATCATCTTTCAGCGGCCCCATCGGAAAATTGCTTGTGCGCTGCTTAAGTCTTCAGGTAGTACAATTTCAAAAAATCGATTGATTCGAAACTTTTGAGCACAGATCAAAAGTACTTAATTGATATTGCAAACGCAATCAAGTCTGGTCATTGCCCAGACAATTTGGCATCGAGGGATCCTGGACCGCTACTCGGAACTCATAAGTTGGTATGAAATCGATTTAACTACTCCACCTGCGATGAACAACTTTTCTACATCAGAACTTGCGGAATATTTCAATCAGAATGAAGTGCCTCAATTGCCAATTTTAGACTATCCATGCTATACACAAAGCGTTGAGTGTATTGTTCAAGAAGTTAGCAAAGCTTCTAAGATGGTTTGCGGATTTGAAGCACGCGATGGCCTAATTCTGAGTAAAATAAGTCATAGGAAGCTCATGCCCAGTCTTCGCACTAAGGCAGATTACAAGATTTCTACGGAAGAAAAATCCATTGTGTAAATTGCAAGTATATAAATTTGTTAATTGTTTTATGCCTATTGCGCTTTGTTGGTAGGGATGAAGAGGAGGGTGGGTGGGACTCGATGTGCAGCCACCTCCCCGTGGTGAGTCCTGGGTAGTTCAGAAAATAACTAGCCAAGAGCTGCACCTTTCGTTGATATATTATAGTAGTCTCTATACTCTAGTATTAACGAGGGTGAGTATAATACGAGGGTGAGGCGTATAGTAGGTTTACCACGTATTATCCAATACGGGTGGTACGACAGAGTGGCGCCCAACGGGGTTACTTATCCACGGTCGGAGACATTTTTTTTGATTTTTTGTGCCCTGGTACCTCAACCTTGGCACATTTTAATTTTAATTCTAACTGACTAAAACGTAAGGGTTCGAAAATTCACGAACACCCCCTCTCCTCCCGCCTATTAAAACGTTTTTTCAGAACCGCGACCTGAAGACAATGACCTATTTAAATTTTTTAAAAAGTTTGGTGTTCAGGAGCTTATTGGGCATCTTTTTATCGCTAAGGAAAATCGAATTCGACAAAAACAGAATATCACTACCCTCTAGTACCCACGTCCTCACCGATTCACTCAGCGACAACGGAACTCCTCGTGCCTGCGCGTGCGGCGGTGTTATATAGTAATCTTATCGCTGTCTCAGCACATATGCTTCACTGGCCTATGTCAATGGTTTACAATAAAAAGTTCCTACCTCTATTACATATATGAAATGATATTTTGACGACTGTCTACAATATACAACAGTACCTAGGTGTAATATTATGTATTTTAACTACAATAGGTACCTAGTCAATCACACTTATGAAAATGGCTTCAAAACCAAAATTTGCGTATTAATACAAGACATGCAAAAAGCTGTGCATGCAGAGCAAAACAAAGAACTTCATGTGTACAAGGCAAGTTTACTCTACAATGTTCCCAGGTCCAACCTAAAAAATATTCTTGATGGCAAAACAACTATTGAAAATAGGAAACTTGGACCACCTCCTGCTTTATTGGACCATGAAATTTTACTATTTAATTGGATTGAGGCTATGAGTAAAAGAGGTTTTTGTTGAAAGTGAAGCTTGACGGACTAATGATGTTAGCATTAATATAATAAGTAATAACACGACAATATGATTATGTATTAGTATAATATATAATAACGTATAACTGGACAATTAAACTGTGACAGTACACATACATCGTATACCCTCTGTACAACGACGCCTGTGCAAGTGATTATTACATACATCAAAGGCCCTATTTATATGAACAATCGAGGCCATCCCGTATCCGTATATAATATAGAAAGCGATAGTAAAGGTGTTACACAGCTATATCGTAACTGCATAAGTATCTATTAGAAAACGACATTGTACACGCACGTGTGTTTACATGGTTTGAATACTAATATTAATTGTATATTTCAACACCCTCCCTCAATTAATAATTTCTTTAATTGTAGTCACTCCTATGGCTGACCGCAACTTCTCGAATCGTTCCTTAACCAAAGGCTTGGTTAGAATGTCCGCAATCTGGTCCTCTGTTCCAATGTACTGTAGTTGGAATTGTCCCTCTTCGTATTTCTCCCGTATGAAGTGATATCGTAAGTCTATGTGTTTTGTCCTCTTATGAAACTCTGGATTCTTAACTAAACGAATAGCACTCTGATTATCAATGAATAATACCGGTTGTTTATCACCTGTTTTTGATAAGCTTATTATCAACCGCGTAATCCACATGATCCCTTTTACGGCTTCACTGGCCGAAATATATTCAGCCTCGGTCGATGACAATGACACACAATGTTGTCTCTGCGATATGCTCGACCCGTATCTGAATAGAAATCCTGACGTTGAACGTCGTGTCTGAACGTCACCTGCGTAATCTGAATCGCTAAATATTTCTAATGACAATTGTGTATTATGAT